ACTTATAAAAGATCAACATCAATTTTGATTTTTTATAAGTAATAGCATGTGACAATTAGCATCACGTGGTTGCGTCACCATCATTAGTGCGGACAGAGGTCGAAATGCATCAAAAACATCAAAAACGTAATTTTTATATCACTTGACGTAGAATTTAAGAGTCCTTCACTACACTCCGGACATAATCACTTAAATTAGTAAATTTTTTTAAAAAAACAGTATGCATATTTACCAAAATTAAAAGCAATAATTATCAGTCTATTTAGTTGATCTTGATAAACTTAAAAACTGAAAACGACGAAACAAAACACCTAAAATCTATTTGGTAATTGAGTAAGCAACACGTAAAAAAAAATAATAATAATTGGCAAGAAAAAAAAGATAATTTTTTTTTCATCAACGTGTTTATTATTTTGAGATCTACATAATCAAACAAAAAATGCGGTTTAAACTAGTCAGGGTTTTTGAATGTGGTCCACAGGCAGTCAGCAAAATTTGGAATTATTTGGATTATTTTCTAGCGAAAAGGAATTGTTAACTAATTAAATTTATTGGCCAAATTACGCGAATTCTGGAACCGGCCAAAATTTTGGAAATTTGGGTTAATTGCCAAATTTTTTCCAAAATGTTTGACAGTTTCTGGTGGCATAATATCAAGATTTCACTTGGTCTACCACAGGACGTTTTATCACATGAGAATTTGATTTTTGATATATATATATGTATTTTATTGAAGTCATAATTTTAATGATTTTATATATATTCTATGTCACATCTGAAGTAGCCATCTATCTGGAGTTGTTACTTTAAATATCTAAAGTAGCACCTGACCAGAATTACATGTATGAAGATCTAATTTCTAGATATCTAAAGTAGCAACTTCAGAGAGATCGCGACACAAACTATTTATACTGTAGAACATTAAAAAATCTTTTTTTATTTTTTTTACAATTATTGGGATAAGGCTACAGTATTTCCATTAGTCACAGTCCATTCCATCCGTTACTTGGCGAAATTCTTGAATAATTTTAATAACATCAAATACAATGTCAGCACTCAAATTTTCGCCCTTATTCTTAGCCAACAATCGAGCGGCATGAAGAACATTGCGAATCTCACGACCATTCAATTCATAATTAACAAAGTCACTAGCTTTGAGAGGCAAACTGGCACGTTCAATGAAGTTTGTCCATATTTGAAGTCTCTCAGTCGGTCCAAGTTTTGGATAATGGAAGAACATGTTTACTCGTGAACATACAGCGTCATCGAAAGTTATGACCCGATTAGTTGTCAAGAAAATTATACCTAAAGGAAAAATTGATATAGAAATAAATATTGATAAAACACCCAAATAAAAAATAAATATGGAAACGATAAACAATATACAGTAATTTAAAATACCTTGATAGTATTCCAGCAAGCGCAAAAATATTCCAACCATTGTATTACGAGTTAAATCAATTGTACTACGTCTTTCAAGGTAAATATCAGCTTCATCAAGTAAAAGGACAGCATTCCATGTATAAGCTATATCTAGAACTTTAACTAATTCTGCTTCTAATCTATTAAGAGAAAGAACAGAAAAAAATTACTAAGAGTAAAAATTATGTATTATAAAGTTGATATTACATACGTTTCAGGAGTTGACCCGAGTTCGCGTACAGTAAGCACCCATAATGGCATTCTTAGATGTTCAGCCACGCTCTGAGCCGTCAATGTTTTTCCGGTACCAGGAGGTCCATAGCATAGGAAAATACAGCCATTACCTTTATTCGTAATAGGGTCTAATGATTTCTCAAACGGATTTGTAGCATCACCATTAGTCTTTCTGATTGGATTACCATACTGACTCACTAATCCTTCAAGCATATTTTTTTTATTTTGGGGCATTACAACTTGATCGAGGGCATCAGTATCAAAAATAACATCCGAAAATTTAGAGACCTCGAAAAGTCCCCATTCTTTTACCGAAAAACCAAAGCCATATACAACAGCGGGTGCGAGAAAATAATTAGAATCCTTATGAAGATCATTCGTTTGGATATAAGTATTTTTCTCTTTGAGCATTTTAACATCACACTTGTTTGGTGGTTTTGCAAAGCCCATTTGATACTCAGGATTCATGGTCGCAAAACTTTGGAGATCTATCATGACACGACCATCAGATTTAACCTTTTCTATCCGCATATATCGCTCACGTAATAGCGGACCCTCATAATTCATTAAGTGGTGTCCTGAAGCAAGCCTAAAGAATTGTTTTCCATTTGCAATTATATTCTCCTTGAGGAAGTCTTGAGCCGTAGAAAGTTCAGATGGGACAACAGGCAAATCCGAGAAACTAACTTCACCCTTGAAGTAATCAATTTCACGATTTATATGGCAAAATTTATATCCAACGCCGTCATATTCGATTACTTTAATTTTTATCAAGAAACTTATTCCGTTGTCTTGTGCTGAGACAATGACACCTCCAACCTGCTGACCAGATATATTACACCGACTATAAGAACAATAATTATTACAATTAATAAAATAGATTATATTTATAAAGTAAAAATTTTTCCAGGAAGCTACTACTTACTACCATACGTCCAAATTTTCAGTATAAAATACCCATAACATATCATATGAAACAATTTTATTAGTAATCATTTTTTCACGATTTTTTATTGTTTTTTTATATTCATGTTCAAGAAATCTTATTAAGCGTTTCAGGTGGATATTACTCTCTAAATCAGTCACGCTTTCTAATATATGATCAAATAGTCAAATAAATTTAAGTGAATAGATATCAATTAAATCAATAGAAATGAAATTACTTACTAGTAGCATTTTTTAGCTTATCTATCACATGAAATAAATCTCGAGCATTGACCTTATGTCTGGGGTAATTATTATTGGCCTCAGGTTTCGAGCTACCATTATCGTTATCATTATCACCCCATCCGTTATTATCATTATCATTATCCCATCCATCATCATAGTCATCAGGTTCCTCCCAGGAGTCACCGTTTTGGTTATCATTATTAACAAGGATCTTATTACTAGGAAGAATATCTCTCAAAATTTTTATCAATTTTTGGGAGCTCAGTTCAACATATGGGTAACCATCACGTGGATAAACGACTACAAAGGGATCGATATTAATGCTTTCGATCCTTACTCTGCGTTCTAATCCGTTACGAGAGCGATATTCATCAAAGCACGGCCACTTCCAGTCTTCTCTATCATTTAAAATAACCTTGAATGCATCGTTCTCGATAAAATCGTTACTTTGCATGTTTTTCAAATAATTTGAGAGGAAAATAATAAAGAGAAATCAGAGACTGAGAAAAATAATGAGATAAAAAAAGTGAATTCGAAGATATTTGGTTGCGAAAAATGAGAGAAAGGATGATCTTAAATAAATGTTTTTTAAAAAAAAAATCGCAGCACGCATTCTCCAATTAGAATTACTAGAATGCGCACGGCCTACATATTCCGTTGAGCTGCACAATATCGATAAATTAATGTGATCTTTTTTTCTTTGTTGTTGACTCAAGGTGTAAATCTATTTGTATAATTTATCTCTAGATCTATCATTATAATGTAATCCTATACAATATTGAAATAAGTTATAAAGTTTCTTATATGAAAAAAAAAACAATAATTTATTAAACTTCTTGGCGTTAAAAGGTTCTAGAAAACTTTGATTTGTTAAACTTTTTATAATAATATAGAAAGAATATGAAATTGCAAAAGAATCTACTATAAAAAAATTTTTGGCATAGTATTAAACTACGGTAAACTTTAAAAAGATTACTTTTCTACATTGAATTAACCCCATAGATCACTTCAATTTGAGAGGGCGTCGAGATCGATTCTACAAATATTCCGCAATTTCTCACTGCCGCTGCCGCAATACTCATTAATGATAATATCGATCATAATATTGCAAATTCTGTAATTAGTAAGTTACACTAGCTCTTAAGACCCGGTCCTTGACCGGGTTTGAGTTTCTAATTTTTTGCTAATTCTTAGGCCTTAATATTATTAATTCTTAGGCCTTAACATTATTAGATCTTAGAACCCGGTCATTGCTTGAGTTTGAGGTTCTAATTCTTAGATCTAAATTATATTAGCTTTTAGAACCTAGTCATTGCCTGGGTTCGAAATTCTAATATTTTGCTAA